CGGAAGGAAGGTTGGGCAATCCTACTTCCGTAGTGATACTGCCTTGGAAACCCAAGGAGGGGTCGCTATGAGTCGGGGCCGACTCGACAGCAAAAACAACAACAACAAGAACAACATCCACTAACTGGAGTCATAATATATTTCATCACTGCCATTCCAAATCTAGGTAAATTAGCTCTTACTATGCTTTTGGGTTCTTCATAAAATCTGACATGGATTCGTCTCTTTCCTCCTAGGAATTAGATCTGTATATTTTTATTCTATTTCTTTGTAACAAAAAAGAAAGATATTTACTAAAATGGATTTTGAAGGATTTTAAAATGGTTTTCTCCTCAGGGAATATAATAAACTTTACTGTTACTGAGCAACTGTCCACAAAATATGCCACTGCAAACACACATTCTTCTCTTGCCCTACTTTGTACTCATTCAACAAATATTTGTTAAACACCAACTATGTACCGACTATGCCAGCATGAAGATAATTATAAATTTCAAAATATCTGTGTAGGCCAACATAAATGCCTATGCATCCTGATCTTGTTGCTAGTAATTCACTTCCTCCTTAAATCAGAGAGCTTCTTCCAGATTATGTCTATAACTGTCTAGAATATAAAAGATCCAAATAAAAGTCAATGAAGTATAAACTTCTTTCCTACCTGCAGCGATAAACTTGCATTATTATTCACTGAATTTAAAATATCATTTCCAATGGAACAGAATTCTCATTTTAAACAGAAAATACCCAAATTCATCTTGCTGTTAGACTCAAACTTCCCATTTTCAACACAGTATCTTCCAGTTCTGATAATTAAAAAATTATGCCAGGGTCATTAAATTGCAAAGCATAAATCAGGACTGTTTTCATTATTATCTTATCTACATTTCTTATAACTTTTAATATCAGTTATTGAAGGTTTGTAATGTTTGGGGCAGTTAGTAATTGAACAAAAGACAATAAACCTGGAGAAAACTGCATTGTCTGATGACAAACTATTTTATTTTATAACATTTGGGGAATGGCTTAATAAGTTAATCTTTGGAATTTTGCAAGTATTTTGAAGACACAACACTATTACCTAAAATCTATTCTCAATTGGCAAACTAGACAACAACATCAAAGAAGAGAAACAGAATTTTTAGATACTGAAAGCTACACGGTATGCTTTCTGTTCCAGAGTTATGTATATTTCAGAGCAAAGTTATCTGCTTAGTTCTTAAAATCTTCAAAGAAAAAGACAATCTTCTTTGGGAATGAAATAATTCAAACCAATATGTTTATCAATTATGCTTTAAGCATCTATGTTGCCGTTTTTGTGTGCTGTTGAGTCAATTCTGATTCATAGTAACACTACAGGACAGAGAACTTCTGAACACTTAACCATCACATCACCACCAGTCTCCTTAAGCACTATGTTAGGTGCTAAGAGAAAAGGGGATGGGGAGATATAAAGGTACATAAAGTTTTTACATCATCGTAGGGCAGACTTGAGTTTGAATTCTGGTTTCCAAAATTAACTTCCTTAAGTTTCAATTATACACTGAGGATACCTATCTATTTTGTGGGGTTATTCTGTTTTTTTAATATATATATATATATTATATGTATTATATATATATATATATATATATATATATATATATATATATATGTGTGTGTGTGTGTATATATATATATATATATATATATACATGTATGTATGTGTGTGTGTGTGTGTGTATATATATATATACATATACATATACATGTATGTATGTGTGTGTGTGTGTGTGTATATATATATATATATATATATATATAAATATTATTAGGAGCTCTGGTAGCATAGTGCCTAAGGCACTTGACTGCTAACCAGAAGGTTGGTGGTTCAAACTCACTAGCCATTCCTTGGAAGGAAGGTTGGGCCACCTACTTCTGTAGTGATACTGTCTCAAAAACCCAAGGAGGGTCGCTATTAGTCGGGTCCAACTTGATGACACATACCACCACCACCACAACATAAATATATATAATATATACAAATGTAAAGTACAAGGCAAAGTCCCTGCCATATAGAAAATTCTCAAAAAGTAACTTTTTTTTAAAGCCATTTACTGAACAAGGAACCCTGGTGGCACAGTGGTTAAATATTCAGCTGCTAACTGAAAGGCTGGTGCTCTAAACCTACCAGCTGCCTCACGGGAGAAAGATGTGGTAGTCAGCTTCTGTAAAGATTACAGCCTTGAAAACTATAAAGAGGTAGTCCTACACTGTCCTATAGGGCCTCTATCAGTCAGAATTGACTTGATGGCAATGGGTTATTTATTGAACATGGACTAACTGTCAAGCATCAGGCTAAGCACCATCTGCTTTGTTTAATTTTCAAAAAAGTCCTATGATGTAGGGAAGCATCAACACCAGAGGGAGCTGAACAAATGTGGGAGTGTTGTGTATATGCCAGGATTAAAACTCAGGTCTGCTGGACTCCAAAACTTACACTTTTTACCCTTTTATGTGGCATAATTTTATTCTATTTGGGTTATAGAAGTAAATTCCAACCACTCATTCCAGAAACTTGAGACTCATTCTAAAGTCCATTCCACTACCCACTCCCCAATCTATTTGGACGTTTGTGGTACAGTGAATTTCTTGGTATGGCTTTTCCAGCCACAGTCTTTGTTAACACTCACCAGACTACTGGGTGGGACCATGCAAATAATGTGTATAAACTCAAATGTGCAGACTGGTTAGTTCTGCCATACTGCTAGGCTTAAAATGAGCTCTCCTAGAGACAGAAGGGGGGATGGATCTCACTGCTGTCGAGAGAGAAGAGCTGGAACTGGAGGGAAGCACGTCCTTGAACCTGAGATCCCTGCACTACTAGACCTCCTTGGCAGAGATACCTGGCTGAGAGACGGTGGCAGTGGAACCAAGAGGCACAAGACAGAGCAGTGGCTTTGCTGGCCCATGGAATGAGAAAGCTGAATGTTGTTGGACAGGACGCTTGCTGGCAGAGTGGGGTGCACCTATCGATAGAGCTAGTAGAACTTTGTAACACTAGCCCAAGCAGGGCAGAGGCCAAGTGGAGAGGACAAGGGCCAGAGGCATGTCTGAGGGCATAGCAGTCCTGACTGAAGAAATGCATCCTGAACATGTTTCTAAACCTGAGTTGTAGCCTGTTACTTCCCTAATAAATCCCATAATCGTGAGTACTGTCTGTCAGTTCTGTGTAGCCACTGCAATGAATTATTGCACCCAACAGAGTAGTAGTGAGTGCTGTGGGAGGGAAGGCTGGTGTCAGAGTTAGTAAAAAACGTTGGAAGGGGGCACAGGAATCTATGGACTGGTTAGTTTTGACATACTTCTTCCAGGCTTAAAATGAGTCTCATAGGAATAAGCCTTGATCCTAAGGAGATTATTGATGGTGATCTTATTGATGGTGATTCTGTCTCCCTCTTGTGAAGTTAGAGGAGGTCAGAAAGTACCACCTCTGTGCCCTTTTTGCAACATTTTAAGTTGAGGAATGATGAGTTGTAGATTATATATACTTCAAAGTCTATTAACTTCCAGCCAAACAATAGACAGGCCTAGGTGGTAAACAATTTCACCAGGTAGCTACACTCCTTAGAACCAACCAACCCAGTTGATCAGAAGGTCAGCATTTATGCAGGGAGATAGCTCAGAGGGCAGGAATGCACAGGGAAGAAGGACACAGGGAAAAAGTAACCACGGGAAGGAAGTGGGAAGAGAGCCACTACATTGTGGAGATTGCAAACAATGTCATGAAACAAAATATGTACGAACTGTTGCATGGAAAACAAATATGCTCTGTAAATTTTCACCCAAATCACAATTTAAAAAAAAGGAAAAAAAAATCCCACAAAATCTTTGTTTCCTTATAGTTAAATGGGAGAAAAAGAGCTATCTTATAATGTTACAATTAAAAAAAAAAAAAAAAGGAAAGGATAAAGTCCCAACCCCTTTGCACTCAATATTAGTATTTTCATGATTGGACTTCTACCTTTTTGGAAGTTTCTAATTATGCCCCTAGGAACTCTGGTAGCATAGTGCCTAAGGCACTTCAGTGCTAACCCGAGGCTGGCGGTTCAAACCCACCAGCCACTCCTTGGAAGGGAGATGGGGCAATCTACTTCTGTAGTGATACTGCCTTGGAAACCCAAGGAGGGATCGCTATGAGTCGGGTCTGACTCGGTGGCACATAACAACAACAATACACACCTAGATGTTATATATGTTAACTAACATACACATGCATGTTTTATACACAAACACAGACACAATACATACAAATAACACATACATGTTAAACAAGCATCTTCATACTAGAATACCTTTCTTCTTGTGTCGAATTTCACAATTCTTCAATATCCAACTTAAGTATAACCTATTCAGTTCATCATGCCTTCCTGTACTGACTGCACTGTACCTTGTACATAACACAGGCTGCTGCAATTACAGACCCACCTAAGCAGCGAGCTCTTGGAGGACATGATTTGTACCTTAATTACCTTTCTATTAATACCAGTGCCTACAATAGTTGGGAATCCAAAAGAAAGTTTGCTGAATGAAAAATCCAAAAGCAACAATGGAACAAGTGGTAAATGGAATCACCCCAGTCCTTTGGATTAAACAACAGAAAGTGACAGTTCTGAAAGGAAGGCAAACAGTTGGCCAACATGGAAGGATTATGACATCAGGAAAAGACATTTCTTTACTATGTTTGTAACAACTCATTAATTGGCCACTAATTTCCAAATTTATTTTAAAACTAACATGAATCTAATTAGTTACATTATAATTGAGACAACATATGTAAAACTGATTACCTATTTTTTCTTCCAGTTCTTTTACTGAGAAGGTTGGATCATTTTTTACAGAAGATGATTTCTCTAAGGAATCCTAGATTTCATAGGAAAAACAAACAAACAAGCAAAACTTACTTCTTTACCTATGATGAACTGGACATCATGATTATATGAGAAAAATCAGTATCAAAGAGAATTTATATGAAAAGGAATTTTGATAAGTACTCTTTTTTCCCTTAGTAGAGCAGGTAATACCGACCTTATGCATACAGTATTGTAAAAAATTGTATCCAAAGTCAAGATGAACAACTTGACGTATTTCAAATGTATAATGTAATAAGATTAATGATAATTATAATTCATCACACTTTTACAACACAACTTTTGGAGAAAACCTAAAATTCTAGCCATGTTTTTATTTAACAGTGTTCTTTCTATACATAATATGTATAGCACACACAACTGATGTCCAAGTTTTTTTTCATTTTAGTTGTGCTTTTGATAGTAACTGTAGAATTTGGACAATTTAAACCCTTAGTCATTTAATCTCATATAAATTCAAGATTTTAAAATTAACTACCTCCTCATACAAATGACCAATGTAATAAACTGGATACACAGTATGAAAATGAATGTACTTTCCAGAAATCTGCCATTTGAACTTAAGTGCTAAAAATTTACCTCAACTTCAAAGTATAAAAATATTAACATCCTTTTTCTCTATACATACGTACATACATACATACATACACACACACACACACACACAGAGTGAGCTCTGGTGGCATAGTGGATAAGGCATTTGGCTGGTAACTAGATGGTCACTGGTTCAAACCCACCAGCTGCACAGTGGAAGGAAGACAGGGCAATCTACTTCCATAAAGATTTATAGCCTTGGAAATCCAATGGGGGTTGCTATGAGTTGGAATCAACATGATGGCAGTGAGTTTAGTTTTTTAGGTTTATATACCTATGTATAAGTATATAAATAACATCCGTATTAGTATATATATACTTCACAGTACATAAGTACTATAGAACAAAGAATTTATTCAAATCAATATACTAGAAATAGACAATTTAACAAATAAAATTTAAACAAATACCTTCAGTAATGCCAATTCTGTTCTTACACCTTGCAATTCAGATTCTTTTTGTTCTAGTAATGGCCTTACCTTTTCCTGTTCCTTTATACATGATTTTTCTTTTTCATTATGAATTTCATTTTTGCTATGTAACAATTTTTGAGATGCTTCTTCAATCTGAATTAAAAGATCCTGGTTTTCAAGTCTTGTTTTTTCATTAGCATTCTTCATTTCTAGAAGATCAAACTGCAGGGCCTCATTTTCTGACAGGGTTTCTTCTAACTCTTTCCTTATTAACACCTTCTCTTGCTCATACTCTTCTAGTAAAGATCTAAGTTCTTTACACTGAACTATGTGCTCTTCCTGAGTGCACTTAATTTCTTTTTCTAATTCTAGTATCTTCTCATCATACTGAGAAACCAAGTTGTTTTGGTCTTCATTCATTTTTGCTAAGGATTCACCTACAACTTGTAGGACATTTATAACATCTTGCTCTTCCAAGACTTTTGACCCCATTTGTTCAAGGAAACCATACAACTGAGTTTTGACAAATAACTTCTGATGTTGTTCACTTTCAAACTGTTTAGTTAAATTATCTCGCTCTTCAACTGTTAACTGTAATTTCTTTTCTAATTCAGTAATCTGTTCTTTTAGGCTAATATCCCCTTCTTTTTGAGACAGAAAAGCTTCCAAATTGCTACTCAATTGGATTTTTTCTGAGTGTAGTTTGTTATTTTCCTCATTAAGTGACTTCACTTCAGATGACAATGCTTCCTGTTCTTTACATAGAGTTTTCATTTGAACCATAAGCTTTTCTAGTTGTTGGTCATTTTGGTCCTTTTCTTTTAAAGTCTCTCTTAGTTCTTCTGTTAACTCATCTACTTTTTGTTTCAGTTCACTGTTGTATTGGGTAGTTTGCTCTACTTTCTCCCTAAGTTCTGTAATCAGTCTTTCTTCTCTTTCACATTTTTTATGGAGGTTATACATCTCTTCAACCGAATGTTCCATTTTATTTATGAAACCATCTTTTTCCTCTGTCAGAGAACTTATCTTTGTTTCTAATTCTTGTAACATGGTATCTCTCTGACTGAGACAAATGAAATACTCTTCATTCTTTTCTTGAAGGTTCTTTATGGTATTTTCAAGTTCTGGTATTAATTCTTGTTGAGATAATAATTTTTCCTTTTCCCCCTGGAGACAATTCACAGTTTCAAGAAGAGCATCTTTTTCATTAAAAGCAGTTCTTAACTTCTGCTGTAGTTCATGAACATCAGATGCTTGCTGTTGCTTCATTGACTCAAACTCTTGACTTATTTTTCCAGCAGATTCCCCCAGCTCTGTTTGCAAAATTTCCATAATCTCTCGCAAACTCTCATAATTTAAGATTGCATCTTGCTTTTCTTGCTGCAGATTTTCACATTGTTCCTTAAGACCCTGTATTTCAAACATTAATGTTAATTTTTCTTTTTCTGAACCTGACACAGATATCTCATTTAGTTCTGATATTTCCTTTTGATGTTGTTCTTTAAGATTCTGTATTTCTTTGTTATGCTGTTCTACAATACAGCTAAATTGCTTATTTGAACATTCTAGCTCAGATTTTAATTTTTCAATTAGCCAGCCCTGTTCTTCTTTAGCTAGTAACAGTTCATTAATTTTAAATTCTAAGTCTTCACGTTCATGGAAAAACTCATCTTTTATATGCTGGGCATCCAGTTCAAGTTTTAATTTAAGATTATTCATGTAAGTTACCTCATCTTTCAAGATACTATGTTGAGATTCCAGTTCTTTTAAGGTACGTTCTAAGTGTCTGACTTTTTCATTCACTACTTGCTCTACAATAGCATCTTCTTGTGAGAGCAAAGAACACATCTGTTTTTCTTGGTCTGCATGTGAGGCTTTCCTTAAGTTTTCTAATTCACACTGATATTTCTCCTGAATGTTCTTCTCATTTGCCTCATACTGTTTCGCTAAGTTCTCCTTTAATTGATTTAACTTATTTACTTCTGCTTCATGTTCTTTAGCAGAGGCTTCAATCTGGCACATCAAGTCTTTCACCTCTTCTTGGTGCATAGCTTGCAAGTGCAAAAGTTCTCCTTGTAAACTGTTAATATCTCTTTGGTAATCCTGAGAATTAGCCTCAATGACTTTTTGGAGATTATCAATTTCTTGCTTCTTCTCATTAGTGGTAGCTTCTAACTGCTTTTGCAGATCTAAAATTTGCTGCTCAAAGGCTGGCCTAATTTTCTGAATTTCACCTTGCAGTTTTTTAACATTATTTTCAGACTCACTCTGAAATTTAAGTTGTTCTGAAAGTTCTAATTGTTTGTTCATTGCTTCTTCCAGTTCCTTTTGCAAGTTATTTTTATCTTCACTGTGTTTAGAATGTACTACTATCAATTCATTTTTCAAATTTTCAATTTCTTTGATGTAGCTTCTATGTGATTGTTCAAACTCTTTATGTAGATCTTCTACTTTATTTACAGAATCCTTTAAAAATAAAAATAAGCATACATACATCATTTAAGATCAAAGAAACTTCTGCCACCAGAAAAAAGTATTAGTTACAGGCTAACTAGAAAGAAAAGAAATAAGCAGAAATAAACATAGAAAAATATGATGGTAAGATGATAAGAATTCTGCTTAACGCTTTCCTATCATATATATGACAACAGATACCAGCAGTACTAAATCTATTACTCAAAAGTAGTAAATAAAAGCTAGGAAATCTCTCCTGTTACTTAAGTTACAAGGTTTTAACTAACAACTCCTGAATTGACTAAAAAGAGGTTTTTTTTTTTTTGAGAAAAATTAGGCCAAGTCTAATAAGTGAGACCATAATGAGAAAATGGTACAATTTTAAGGAATATCCTGAAACTGAATATGCAATAGTATTTAGAGTATGTGTGAGATCAATTTACTTAATACTTTTTTTTAAAAAAGTAAAATAAGTACTTTTTTTCATTTTTGATTAAAGAATGACATTATAGCTATAAGGAAGATTAAAAAAATACAACAAGTAAATGTTAGTTCTGTGTCTATAGAGTTAGGTGATTTATATTATTTTTCTTTTAAAATCTTAGTCTGAGTTTCCTCATTTATAAAACTGGAGTCAATGCTTTTCAAGGTCTTAGCTCTCAAATTCATGAGTATACTATCTATATGTTGATAAAAAGCAATAAATGTATTAAATTTTAAAATCTTTCCTTACCTCAGCATCCTGCTTCATTTTAACATTTTCTTTCTTCAAAGCAAGACACTGTTGCTCAGTCTCTGCCTTTTCCAGGAGAATGGCATCCAGACGTTCAGTCAATGCCTGTTTTGGAATAGGATGATTTGTTTGCCTGAGGTTAAAAATGGTCTAATTATTGCCTCATCTTTTTTACACCACTCTAAAATGAAAGGCTTAAAAACGTATAAACACAACATGAACAAAGAAAACACACATCAGAATGAGAGATTTCAATACATTTTTAGAAAACTCAGTGGATAAAGAGAAGAAACTCAATTAGAGGAGGAAAGCTACAACCTAAGGGCCTGTACAGAGAAATACCCGAGAAGCTGGCTAAGACTCTTTGGAAAACTAAAGGTTCAGAGATTGGAAGCACTAGGTATTATTGAGGGAGGTGTAAAGTGTGGGGCACAAAAAGTAAGAATTGGCGGACAATCAGGGAGTAGCTTCTAGAACAAGAGACAAAAAATAACCACTGTCTCCTCTCCCTCAGATACATGTTTATTCTCTGCACAAACTGAATGGGAGAGAAAGTAAGTAAAACAGCAAACAATGCCACAACCAAAAGTAAGTTCTTTGACAAGCTTATAAAATAGGCAACCTCTATAAACACTAACAGGAGCTTTGGTAGCATAGTGCCTAAGGCACTTGACTGCTCACCAGAAGGCTGGCGGTTCAAACCCACCAGCCACTCCTCGGAAGGAAGGTTGGGCAATCCTACTTCCGTAGTGATACTGCCTCGGAAACCCAAGGAGGGGTCGCTATGAGTTGGGGCCGACTCGACAGCAAACAACAACAACAACAATAAACACTAACCACCACTCCTCGGAAGGACGGTTGGGCAACCTACTTCTGTAGTGATACCACCTCGGAAACCCAAGGAGGGGTCGCTATGAATCGGGGCCACAGCACATAACAACAACAACAACATAAACACTAACAAGAGAAGACAGAAGTCATAAAAAAATTAGACTAAATCAAGAGGGGGCACAATTATATATCAATTAAGAGACTAAAAAGTTAAAGATAATATTATGAATAACTATTCACAAATAATATTGAAAACAAATTAAATGGATAAAAATTCCTAGCAAAATATAGCTTTACTGACCCAAGGAAAAAAAAAGTAAAAGCATAATTAATACTATAGCTGTTTAAGCAATCAAAGCAGTGACTAAATAATGTCCAACAAAGAAAATAAGAAGGTCTAGATGGTTTTACAGGTGAGTTCTATCACATTTTCAATGAAAAGATCCTCTCAATATCATACATAACTGTCTAGACATAATTGAAAAAAAGACAAATTCCAAAGTTATTGTACAAAACTGGCAAAACTTAATACCAAAATGCAAAGACTTTACAAGAAATAATATTACAGACTCATTGCATGAGTCTACAAGCGAAAATTCTAAACAAAATATTAGTCTATGATTACCACTTCTAAGCATTCTACTGGAGATCCTAGTGAGTGAAATAAAGCATAAAAAAAGATATTAAGACAACCTTATGAGACCAAAATGGCAGTATTTCCTCAAAAACAAAGCTCAGAAGGCAGGTAGGAGCAGGGCTGGAAACGGGAAACCCAGGGAACCTAGGGAAGAGTACTGTTATACTGAAGGGAGTGCAACCAATATGACAAAACAAAATCTGTTGAAAGAGTTCCAGTAAGAGTTCCAGCAAGATGGCAGACTAGACAGAAAGAATGCACAGACCCTCTTCAACAAAGAAGAGGGAAACCAATTAACACAGTCATAGAAGATAATCCTGGACCCCTGAGCCTTGAAGGGAAGGATATAGAAGTGGACTAAACCCCAACTAGCAGAAGAATTTGTATGAAAATACCAAAAAAGGTGACATACGGAGCTGTGATCTGGCAG